AAAAAAATATAGTAGAGGTTTTACGGCGCTCGCAACTGCATAAGGTCATATGAACGCCAAGGGTTGGGTGTCAACAGAGAAGTCTTTACAGGGAAGCAGACTTACTCTGCTCACCTCTCTAGCTTCAACAGCACATAGTCTGTTTCAACTTTCAAAGCACCCCGGAAATAGCGGGTCACAAGAGTGTGATAAACATACAAAAGAAGTAGAGGAAAATGACGATAGTAAGGACGAGGAAAGAAAAAGCAGCAGTTCCCTGTTGCAGTTCAGGCATAGTTATGAGCATGGCATTGTTGGATCAGCCCATTTACAATTCTACTGGTGCATTAGAGCGAGAAATGTCCTCCCTTTGGGAATGGCCCAAAGACACTTCGGTCAGTGGTACCGCCCCGGGGGGTTAGACCTCTGTTTCTGTTGGACATGATCTTTGTTTGAAAGAGAGAAGCACATCGATGAGTTAAACAATCATTTAGTGAAGGGAAATAGTAAGACAGACATGACCAACAGATAGACAGAAAGAAAAGAAGGAAAGAATAATGTCTTCTGGAGTAAGACTGTACTACGGTCATCATCATCATCATTGCCTTTCTCACCCTGCATCAGGGTATAGGCCACGGACAAACACCCTCCACTTTTCTCTATCCTGGGCCAGCCTCTTGATGTTATTTCATGTCTTCCCACTTTTCTGTACATCGATTTCTGTGATTCTTCTCCAAGTTCCACGAGTGTACTACGGTACAAGTACTACAAATAAAGAAGTCACAAAACACGGCCATGACAAGAAACAGTTTACTGACTTCTCAAATCCTTTCAGCAGTCCCACAAAGAAATGAAAGCACAAAACACGGCCATGACAAGAAACAGTTTACTGACTTCTCAAAGTCCCACAAAGAAATGAAAGCACAGGTCCAACTTTGACAAGAGGATTGCATAACATACAGTATACACCTGTAAAACCATACAACAAATAAATAGTTTTAGATGGCAAGGAAGTATGATGAACAAAACAAAACAAAATAAATGTGTAGCGTGCTGACAGAACGAGTGACTTCTCAGGTTCGAGCCTTAAGTTAAGGAAATCGATATATCACTCTTATACGTAAAGTTTTTTACAATTTATAAGTTTAGAATACTAAAAGACAGGTTATAGTTAAAGAATATAGCATTCATTTAAAAAAATCTTACAAATTTGTCCCTATTGTAGATGTCTGGACAATATGTTCGTTTGTGTATTGCGAGAAGTAACTCATTTTGTCAGCACGCCTCACAAATAAAAAAAATATGTTACGTTGGAAGGTGGGATGGACAAGTTTGGAGGAATGTAGTAGTGTAAATTACCCAGATCTTGAAACTTTGTACACGATATAACAAAACACATGGCATAGACAGAGCTAGCGGTGAGCCTGGCACCAGATCAGTGGGATTTCATCAGCAGTATACTATTTAGTATATAATGGTCGCTTTTCAGGACAAGCGGGCTATCCCTAAAAATGCTGTTTTGAGAAAATCGAAGGTAAAGTTTTTGCCCCTTGTTCAGTTTCTTTACAAGACAAGGAGAGTTTTCCCTATAACCAAACAAAATATACACACCAGTGACACCAAACTTCTCCTGTTTATAGGTAGGGCAATGCCCACTTCTGCTGTAGGTCAAGATTTCTGGAAACCCCCGAAATCTGGGTTAGCCCGCTTGTCCTTAAAAGCGACCATATGTACTATATCACGAAAGTATCAGAACAAACCATCAGCCGACATCTCTATAAGGATTGTAAAATGTCTCATCCCTCCGTCGACGCAATGTAAGTCATTTAGAGGGGAAGGAAGGCTTTTTGACAGCTGAAAGGGATACAGTATCCGAGAAGAGAGGTGGGGATACTCGATAAACTAAACATTGTCCCCACTCAGGAATTGAACCCGAGTCTTCTGTGCATGACAGCAATGAACCTAACCGTTCCACCACAGATGCTGGTGAAATGTCACAGGAGAACTTCAGAGAGTTGTTTAGTTTTAGTAAGAGTTTTACGGCACTTGAAACACAATAAAGTCATATAAGTGCCGAATATTAGAGGCGTTAAAAGAGAGTAACAAACACAAAAAAAGGAGGAGGAGAGATAAAGACGATAGCTGTTTGATAGGAAAGAAGAAGCAAACCACACCAGAGCACCCGACAACTTCAGAAAGCTGTTGTTAGTGAGAGGGGCTGAGGGCACCCAAGTCACAATTAGGGTCGTAGATAAAATCATGGATAGAGTCATAGATAGAGTCATAGATTAGTCATTTTAGTGTTAGTCAAATCTTCAAAAGTCACGGCATACTCAGATAGTATTTGATTTTGAGCATAAATTCTGGAATGTGAAAAAACTAACCCCTCATGAAAACAGTCATTTTTCTGCCATATTAGATGAGAGAGGTGGCTTCTGCCATATGACTGTCCCCGTGGTTTTATGCACCCCGCGGAATTTAGACAAATTTCATCTTTTTGGGGCATAATTTCGGATTCTTTATCTTCATCATTCTTTTTAAAAATTAACAGAATCGCATAATTTCACATTTTTGGGCTCAGTTTGCATAATTTCAGAATTTTTTTTGCATAAAACAACGGGGACAGATACGAGATGAGAGC